AGTTTATAGTTGGACTCAATCTTAAGGGTCTTTCCCAACCTAAATGATTCTATGGTTCTAATAACATATAAATGAACTTCAAACTAAATGCTGTAAAACAAACATTTCCTCCTGTACACCCGATATCCTCCTTGATGTCGGTCAAGCTGGCAGTTACACCTCATACGCTGATGCAGTATATAAATACTAATAATGCACATGGCTATTCTGCTCTTTCTTTGGATCATAAAAGAGTTTTTTACCTCTGATCTTAAGCACAATGTTCTAAGTTTCTCTGTTTATCAGCAAATAAATGAGGCCAGCCTTAAAGTATACGCACTTCTGCTGGCTGCAAATAACGCCTGTGATACTTCCACAGGAAGCCATCAGGATCATTGCTATGATTACCCTGCTAGCATTAAACTCTGAATATTTAAATTGTAATCGTAATATGCACTTATCTCCAAGGTCCTTATTGAACATGCACTCTCACTGGTGTTTCATGAAATTACTACTATAATTGTATTTCTGAAATTTTTGCAATGGCTAGGAAGACTGTTGTCTGTAGTTTACAATGCTATTTTGGAACCAAAAGAAACAGTAAAAAAGGAAATTTTAATTTTTTTTTAAAAGTACCTTCAATATGTCTTCAAACAGTTCTATAGTGAGAGGGCTAGAGTTCATCTTGTTCTTTGAAGGCTAATATCAACAGAGGTCATTATTTAGTACACCTTCTGTTGAAAAGGAATATAACTTAATATTTGTGATCGACACATCAAACTGACTAAAGCATTAACAGCTCAGAATGCTTGCATCGATTTATGAAAACAAGTTAGATAAAACTTTAGAGCTTTTGTTCAGTAATTGGGACAGATATTTACTAAAAAATGCTACTTATAGACACAACAAGAGTCTTCATAGCCAGAGAATGTGCAGAACAGGTCCAAACTGAAGGGAGCTTAAATACTTACACATTTTTAAAACACAATTATTCATTGTGGAAAAGAGGTCTTTAGACCTCTGTGTTCGGTCTTTAGAAAAGTGCATAAACCCTCCACCTGCAATACTACTGTTGGGAACATTACTCAAGCGCAGATCAGATAAGTAAAGTTGCTTCAAAAATGATCACTGAAATAGAAATAAGAGTAAAAACAGTCAAAGAGGCTTTAACACACATGCCCCAGCTTCATTTTTGAACATCAAGGCCATGCCTGTTTCCAGTTCCTTAAATTGCCACAAGTCTCTAAGCTTCTATATTTCCCCTACAGCCTGGTAAATTAAAATTATGAAATAATTGGATATTAAAATATTAGCAGAGGCAAAATAAATATTTTTAATAAATAGGTGTCCAAATTTCAGAGCAAGACACAACAGATCATGTTGAGAGTTGTGTGGATAACAGTGTTGTATAACTCTGGATAACAGTGTTGTATAAAGTCAGCAAGACCTTTTCTTTCTCCTCCATGTAATTTCTTCAGCAACAAATGGATACAGATTTTTTTTTTCTTAATTTTTTTCTGTTGTATTCAACTCAGTCTGTAGTGTGACAAATTGTAATATAACTATACCTCTTTAGTTCCTATTCCTCTACTTAAAATAAAAGAGGTAAGAACCATGGAGATTTAGCCTATTTGTAACCCACTCTCATGACATATTTTATGCAACCAAACTAAAGGGAGTAGAGAAACAACTTTTCCCCCCAAGTAATTACGCAGAAGCTTTTTAAGAATACTTTTATATAAATGCAGTTTAAATGACATTCTAGAAAAATCCTTGGAGCACTTCCTATAGTCACTTTTGCTATTAGGCAATGCCTATGACGTGCATTACTAAACTAAATATAAAATTTATGTCTACAAGACGCCACCAATAGTCACGAGTATTAGAGCAATTCTTTTGCAAAAGATTTGTTTTTGACAGAGATTTCTACCATAAACTTCAGAAGAAAAAAACAACCTTCCATAAACTATGTAAACCCATATTCAGTATGAAACTTTGGCAACACTATTTATTTGAAGTGAAAGATACTTTTAGAAATATGGATTTTACTATTCCACAAAATGTCTCAAATCACTTTCATTATGCATCTATGTGGATATGTTTGAAACTGCAATAGCACTGTTTGCTGTCACACCACTGGAAAAATAATAATAATAATAAAAAACCCACTAAAATGCCTGCCACTTCCCCTTCTATGTTTGCAGCTGACTAGCTACTCAAGATATAATCCTGTGGCCATTTCAGAATCAAAGCGCATTCAGATCAAAGTAGTTTATGAGAAATCACTGATGCACCTACTGGGTTCTGAGCTGCAATTCCACAAGGCATCGTTTCTATTGAAGACGGTGAACTATATTTTCGCTCCTCTCAGGGAAAATAAGGTTGTGTTCTAAAGGTTTCCTATGTCTGCCTTAGCTTGTAATTACTTAATTTGATTCCGGAATTAGTCAAAGAAATACAGAAAAATAAAGCATTTTCACATAAAACATTAGATCTTTTGGATTCATATTAATAGCAAGAGACTGTTAAAAGGACTAATTTTTACAGCAATGGGAAAGAAAGCTATAAGGAAGCCATCCATTTCTGACACAAAAATATTACTGCTTGTTGTGTATTACTTACATACATACCATATATAAACACATGCATGTAAAATCTTAATATTGTCCAGAAACATTGGTACTAAATTAATGGCTTGGTTTCCAGAAAGTCAGCCTTGCAGGATTAGCAGTTCCTCTAAACTGGGCGTGTGAGTCTGTCTTAACAGTCATGTGCACTGACACATCTGTGGTCAGAAATGTACGGATGCAGGACACAGAGGTTTTACACTGGAGTTGAAATCTGAAAGAACCAGCCAGTAGAATATGTGCTGGGCTTAGACTAGGGCACTATATTTCTGTAAATGCAATATTTTTAATCTTTAGGAGCACAAATCCACCTTGATGATTCTGCCAACTTCTATCTTCATCCAGACAAAAACAAGGATGAAAGCTAATTTTTATTTCTATTCAATTACAAAATAATTACTTATTAGCATTACTAATTCCATTACTAATCTTAAAATTAACCCCAAATCACTGGTATAAAACAACCAAAAGAACAGTATTATAGATTCATTATTAAAGAGTAAGCTATCTCCAAAATTAAAACATTTTCCATTTTAAATTAGGAGAGTGATATATCATTTATATTAGAAATCACTACATTATTTTCAACACCCTGAATCAAAAAAAAAAAGATTTTAAAAAAAGCATAACAGGAACAGAGCGCCACAGGACATGGAAGCGACCTGGGAAAAGTACTCTACAATATGAGTGGAAGTAACTTACATTAGAAGACACTTTGAAAACCGGGAATAGGTATTAATCACCTGCTGTAGGGGAAATAGTCTAGACTTTTAACTTGTCATGCAGTCTCCAGGGCTCTTGGATCCCAGAGGCTGACCCATCCTCAGTTTTGGCCAAAGGACCCACTCGCACAAAGCACAAGGTTGGGACTGGCCTCTGCCAACATCACCTTAATTTGTGGGCCCTGAAGCACCCACCACTCAACTGGGCTCTTGAAACTTTAGTCTTTCAAATCCTTACTCTAACCCAAACATTAAACCTAAGCTTAATTACAGCTAGGGAATACCTGAAATAAATGAGGACCTCTCAGCTATCTACAGAGCTTCTCAGCACAGTACTGTTAACTGAAAAGTAAATTCAAAACCCACAGCACACTAACCCACTTCACAAGTACTTGCCCGCAGCGGAGCACTGCCGTGTTTACTCTGCACTGAGAGCACCCACATGGGGAATAAATTCTGAGCAGCCAGTGGACTGTTAAGTCAGACTTATTTTATTAATGTAAGTAAGTGCCAACTGACATGTTATTTGAAAGCCATGGAAGATAATGAATGCAACTACATTATCAATGCATCCGACGTTAAAATACTTCAAGATTAAGTTTAGTTGATAACAATTCAATCTCCCTAAAATTATAAATAATAGTCAGTGTAAAGAATTTAAAGATTAAAAGCTAGAGTTTTTATTAATGTCTGTAGTGATTTAAGATAGTCTCTATTTATGCCGAATACCTAAAGAATATAGAAATAAAGGAATACAGACTTCAGCCCTGTGACTTTTATTGAATAAAAGTATCTTCACAATGCCTCTATCAGCCTAGATGAGATACATTGTAACATTTAACTGAGTAGTTCTAGCAAATAACTTCTGGTTTCTTTCAGAATAATCTGTTTTCCCTAGAAATTATTTCCATAACTTTGAATTTAAACTGGATAAACATATGGAAATAATTTTTTTACATAATCAAAAATGGAAACAGCATAACAAGAGTCAATCGTGTCATATGTATATCTGCTGTATATAAACCACTCCTTCGCTCAGAAAACATCAAACTTGTTGCATCCTGATTAGTTTTTTAACATACAAGGTCAGCAAAAAAGCTGTACCAAGTTAGTTAATGAAAAGTGTCTTCTGTTTGCTGCGGACCATTTCTCCAAGTCTTAGCTGCATTTAAAAAATAAGTATTCACACAAAAAAGTGTGGTTTCAAAGAGGAAAGATCCACATTAAAGTTGTAATTTATGATTATTAAAAAAAAAAAAAATCACAAACATCATATACTAAATCAAGTTAAAATATAATTTAAATAAATACATCTTTCAAATTTATCCCTTCCTCTAAAATAGTCCAAAGCAACTAGTCGTTAGTTTGGATTATTTGCCTACTATGTATCCATTCCATTGAAGCCGGTTTCATTTATTTGACAGGGCAAGACCAGCTGATATAACTGACTTCAATTCTATTATATTCCTACCCCCTGAAAATCAACAAATTTAGGTGGCTTTGTTCTTGCTTTAGTTTTTAATTTTTATGGCTGACTAGAACCCTGAAGATGCAGCTTTACAATGGGAAGATAATCCAAATTATAGAAAGGCAGTTAGATGAGACAAAGCATAAGTTTATTTAATAAATTTGACTAAAAAATCAGGGATGTTTCAACAATATATTCACTTACTTCAAAGTCTCTTCCAGTTTGCGAATTTTCTTTTGAGCATCCCCTCTTTCTTTATCAACATCATTCCGGATGCCATGAATCTACCATTTGAAGAAAAAAATACCATATTTTAGCTAAAACAGAGTCTGATTAAAAAAAATGTTATTTTAAATTATAAAAACTATTATATTTTGCATATTTCTTTTGCACTGATGTAGACAACCATCTATATATTTCTAAAATTACATGAAATGCAAGAATAAAGATTAACAGAGAGATGAAGTATGAGATGAGACTATAGCCAATAGAGCTATTTTTCTTCTCAAAATGAGTATTATTCTCTAGAGTAAAGAAATATCAGTAATATCTACATAACTAGATTTTCGCTAGATAAATACAGGAAAACATACAGAAATCTGCCTAAAATAATGACATGTATTCTCTATGGCGCAGAATTCCTACTTACCAATTTGTGAATACCCAAAGTGAACAACTTTTTACCAATTCTTACAACAATAAAAATACCAAACATAATGATAGTAAATAACATTATTTTAGAATAATACAAACTCAAGCATTAACTATCTGAGGGTAGGTAATCCTAAGAAAAGTAAAACTTTGGGGAAAAGTGGTTTACTACTAATGATCTCCTGACCCAGTGAAATCAAACCAGAGTGCTTGAATCGTTATATAAAACTTTTTATTTTTCCATTTTGCATCCAGACATTAAAAAAGCCATTTGGAAATGCGGGGGCATGGCACTCTTGTATAAGTGTACAACTAATAAACCCACAAAAAGCACACAGATACCTCTAAAATGATAGAGCATCTTAGCTAACAACTATTATTCCATAATAAACTGTGACCAGGTGCTGCTTATAATAGTGTCAATCCAGAAGAATAATTCATCTGTCACTCCAATGGATGTGGCAGGAAATCAATCCTAGTGCAACCTGAGAGCCTCTGCATCCTTGCACAACAGAAAAAAGCTGCCCCTGACATCATCCTCTCTCTTCCCCATCATCTCTTACCTAGATCAGCATTAGTGTATGTGTTCACTTTGAATAATCTTGCAGGATAAAAATATTCCGCATCACTAAACGTGATTTCAGTACACAGCAGAGGATCACTACTGTCTAACATCACGGGGTCCCACACCTCTCTCCATTTTCCTTCGCTCGGCCATGCTGCTTATCCCTCGTCCTTTCCATTTCCCCAAGCAAACTGTGCATTTCCAAGTAACTCTCCATGCAACTGCCATTACACTGAGCAATACCTATACACACATTTTAAAAGACATTTGCACACAAAAGTGAGGCAAACAGACCTCTTATATAAATATCCTAAAAACACTCAGTTACAAAAAACTTTGAGGCCCTTTAATTCTCCTCTAAATGTTTGTATTTTTCCCCAGTATATTTTAGTTACCATTTAAATTTGAAGCACTACTTTAATTTCTATTCGTATTTAATCAATGCAGAATGAAAATGGCAACTTTCAAGACCTCATAAGGAACGAATCCTAGCAATCTGAGAAATTACTTCTCTCCCTATAAAGCAATATAGTTGCAAAAAACATTGAACAAAATCTGACTCCCACTTCCTAAATTCACTAACCATGAATAGACATTTTTATGAAGAATTCTTTTCTCTGGTACTTCTGGATCAAGAGAGGAAAGCAGCTTCAGAATTTGGCAACCTCGCAGGCATGGTCCAAACCATGGGTTTTCATAATATTTTTTGCCAAAGGCAGATTAAGTACAAGAGTTTGTTTTGCTTTAAGGATTGCTCAAGTAACAATGTGGTGATGTGATGTATTAAGCATGTTATTCTTTACCGGATGGGAAGCACAGGAAATCCTTTATTCACTTCCAATCATTTGCAATCTTACATGCTATTAAGTCACTACAATAAAGAAAAATGTGTTCTAATAAGTGTATAGTCAGAAGCACAAGAGTGTAGTCCAATGAAAAAACAAATTTGGAGATTCTCTACTGTAAGCAGTTCCATGTAGGTGTTTACTACGTGGAAGTCTGAATACTTAGTTGGTTTGAAAGAGCCTCCAAACCGATGGGCTGTCTGTCAGAGAGTAAAGAAGGTATTGCCAAACCTGGCAAAATTATATATATTTAACAGCTGGCTCGAGAACAGCTCTCAGGAATAATCTGTCACTGTTCTTACGCTTAGCTGAATGTTTGGAAAACAAGCGGTAGATTATTTATAAAAAGCAGGTGTTTCCTTTGCTTGTAAAACCATTTAGCCTAACTGGTTCCTGATTCAGCAGATAAGCACATTTAATCAAACAGTGACATTTAGGTTTACTACCTATTATTTGTTTGATGTTTAAATATCCTAGCAGGCAATAGCCACTGTAGACTAATAAAGATTATTAGATAATGGGTAGGTTCTTAAGTGAACAGATTGCACCAGAGACTTCATGATTCCTTTACTTGAAGGCAAGCTTGTTTTAGTATTTTATGGGCCAATCTATACTATTTTATGGATTTATATCCATAGATTGTTCACATGTATTTTTTCTCCTCCTTTCTCAAAGATTTGATTTCAGAAACACAGTTACATGAAAATTATCAATAGGCAAACTGCTGTAAAGTTATCTATTAAAAATAAAAGGGTCTACTTTCTTGTTTACTGATACGGAGTTACAACTTCAATACCTGTGCTTACTGCTGTAGAGTGATTGCTGACATGCCCTTAGCCCATGCTAAGTCGCATTCTCCCAAATGATCCTCAAGCCTCATTCAAGATTCACACAGGACAGGCATCACTGCAGAAAGGTAATACGGATGCATCCACCTTACTATCCAGAATCGTAAAGTTTAATAGTGTAGATGTGAGCCATCTGATGGCATTTGGACTTCATGCCTGGAAACATTACCAGCCACATTTAATCTGTACTTATCTCCAGAGGAAGTGATGTATTGCAATAAACCAATGTCCACTATACTTCAATAGCTGGAAGATATGCAAATTATGCTAATATATTTTTATTTTGACTTTTTGATTTATTATTCCAGTCCTAGGCTTCTCTTGAGGCCAAACACTCATAAAAGACATGACTTGCCTAAGACGACAAATGTAGGCTAGGATTAGACCAAAACATATCTTGGAATGAAAAAGTATTTGACTTCAAGTCAGCAGAAGGCACTAACTCAAACCAAAAACTCACTACAATTGATGTTGCACATGCTATTACCAAGTGACAAGTAGCTATGATCACAATTCATTATTTTATGTTATACATTTGCCACATTTGGAAATGACATGTTTGAATAACACATCCTTTCAATTAAATAGGCATCTAACGCACCCTCTTACTAAGCACTGCATGAGTTGAACATATAACGTCACTAAAACTGAAGTTTAATTTGAAACCCATTCATGTTTAGAGTCTAAAAGAGTACGCAGTATTTGCAAAGTGCTTTAAGATGAAGTGGTTTTGATGAAAATGACATTTTTTAATTTAAGCTTCTGATGTAAAAACAATGCATGTTGACAATATATAGAGAACACATTCAAATCATGGAGAAGTATGGAATAAAGATATATTGGGGAAAAAGTAGTATGGAAGAACATATGAACACTGACAATAGGTCAGGCTAAGTTCAATTTAGTTCATTATCTTTTCTCTAATAGCAGTTAACATCAGATGCCAACAGAAGAAGCATATACAAACAGGACAGGCTTACAGTGGCACTTCTTTGGTAATGCTCTCCCAGCCTCCATCATTTGGCAATAGGTTCCTAGAATCAGAGGCAACGTCTCTATACTTAAATAGCTGCACTTAAAATCTTCCTTGAATTTGTCCAATTATTTTTCCAACCCACGTGAAATGCTTGGATTCCAAAATCTACTTTGGGGATTTCAGAATTTAAACTGTATACAAAATTGGAAATATGCATAAGATGGTATATTTTCCTGAAAACGTTACCTGTTTTTCATATACACGCTCCAAGTGAAGTTTGTCCTGTTGAAGCTTGTATTCTTGATCCTGTAAAGGAAGAGATGTGTATTCTAAATAAACAAACCGCATTTTTCTTTCATTTCAAAGCAAACACACACACATTTGCTATTATATAGGACAGTCCATAAAAATTAAAAATCCACTTTATATCATCATTAAAAAGTTCTTTGACATACAAAAAAAATTCAGCCAACAGCAAAAATATCCACACATAACAAAACTATCTCGAAAGTCATGATTCATGTTTTCTAAAGAGAAACAGCAACTTGTTCTCCTGAGCTATTAAAATACCATTCTGTACCACATCAATTGTGAAATGAAAGACATAGGAGGAAAAGTAGATGCCAGAACTCAAACAGGATTGATACATGATACAGATGTGGAACTCATTATCCTGAGATAGAAGGATTAATTTAAATGCCTATAGGAAGATGGAATATTGAACTGAACTGTTAAACAGCAACAAAAATAAAAACAATTTTGAAACTTACTTTAAAATGTTTACCATTTAGGGGGGGAAAAAAAAAAAAGATATTCGTAATTCTTTGACATGCTTCTCTATAATCCACTGACACACGTTTATACTGTTTTAACATGTGAATTACAACAAACAGTCAAAAAGTTCCTGTAAAAATTCCCTCTTACTCATAAAGTGATCTCTTTTAGTCATATTTTTTAAATCAACCTTTAAGCATAAGGTGACACTTTATATATTTCTATGAATAAAATACAAAGATGCATGTTATATATAAGTGCATTTTAGTATGGCTATCTAAACATTCAAATCACTGGAAAAAGTAAAAAGGGCTGGTCATTCTTGAGTAAGAAATTCAGGGCTCACCCTCAGCTGTTGCTGTCTTTGATGTTCTGAATCATGTAACTGTTGTTTTAATAGAGACACACTATGCTGTAATTCTTTAATCGCATCAGATGCCTGTAGGGATTTAACAGAAAAAGGAATTTTTGTGTTGCATTCCTCATTAGCTCTACAGAAACATCTTTTGCGTTTTTAAATTTATTTCTCAAAGGTGCCTGGAAATTGTAAAAAATTATCAACTTGGGAAAAAAACCTGTATGAGTTTACAACTCCGGATACGTCACTTCTGTCCGTGAACTTAGAAATGTAAACAAAAGCAGAAAAAAATAACTAATAATAAAAAAAACCTTGGCACTAAGAATTGAAAGAAAGAAAAATACCTTGTAAATTAAATGGAGTAAAGTATCATCAAAGCTCCCAGAATTCCAGTAAAACAATGCAAAAGACCCCATTTGTCCTATGGCTCTAAGGATTAGCAGATAGTATTTAAAACATGAGCCTTTTCTACAATTATTTAACTTGAAAATTATATTAAATATATACTATATATCTACTTATGCATATTGGTAGGTATCAATCTGAGACGTTTTTACAGAAACAAACCGGAATTATTACATTTTGGGTGGATTGTAAGCCTGCAAAATTTAAAAATGGTTTCTTAAACACATAAATATTTAACATAATGTTCCATAGTAAGAGGCCTGCAAGACAGTTTATTTCTGGAAAAAATATTTTCCCTCATTGAAGAGGCCTTATGAAAACATTGAGTTTTTAAGTGTGCTGAGGTCCTCTGGTATCTGGAATTTTTACCGAAGCACAAATAAAATGAGCATGTTACTTGTACCTTATCTGAATCAGCTATGGAAATACCATCTGTGCGTACACATACACCAGAATTATCAGTCAACTTCAGATGGTTTTTCAGTCAAATTTGGGAATGAAAATTTAAATCACAATTTTTTTTTTAAACTTATGCACATTAATAACTTAGGGAACTGAACAGTTCCTTGGATTTATTCATAAGCATTACATTTATATTGAGGAGACCACTTAAAAAATAAACAACATTTTAACGCCTATTATATGTGGAAGCATACCTTAGCTGCAGAAAGAGCATGTTCCTGCTTTATAAAATTTATATCAACATCATATTTACTTTGTAGTTGCTGGACGTTCTCCTCATATTCCTGTATAATATGGTCCTTGTCTTTCTGAAGTGAGCTGTGCCTACAAGTAATAAGCAAACAGAACATGGAAATCGCTTTCATATTTTGGCATCTTACCTGCTCAGTATCAATTCTACAGAGTGTGCAAGTCTGTCTGTACCACATGCTTATTGTAACAGAATGAAATGCTTATAAATAATGGAAAGATAACATCTTACAATGGTCATTTGGGTCAGTTCCAAAACGAGTTTTACATCAATTAATACATGTTCATGACAATTTTCTAATGCCAATTACCATCCGCTGAGTTCTTGAAATAAAATTAATAATATTTGCTTTTGGAAATTCCATATTCTTCAATGTTAAAAACAGCAACCGCATTTAACTACCTTGTTTTCATTTCCTGAAGTTCAGAGCATACCGCCTGGTAACGTTGTTCTGCATCAGTCTTTTCTTGAGATAATTTTTGACGCTGTAAATTACTATTTTCAGCTTCAACAGTCAACTGCTGGACACGAGCCTCCAGTTTTTTAACCGTCTGGTTCTAAAAGAATAGGTCATTGTTGAGAAAACACCAGAATAAATTAGGGTATACCCTGTTGTTATTCAGTAGCCTAGAGCAACAAGGTTCTTTGGTGGTTCAGAGACACAAGAGTTACAATAGCAAAGCTGTCATCAATCATGACAGTAAATTCTATGTTGTATATAAAAAAATAAATAAATCTTCAAAATATGGATGTCTAATACACCCCTCTCCCCCACCGAAGTAAAGTGTCTTCTCCCCTAAGCAGAACAATATGTGCAACTGATTTCTAAACTACAAATCTTTTAAAATGGGAGAGAAGACAGATATTTCTATGAAAAACTGTAATAGATGATAACATATGTAAAGCATTTTTAGACCTTCCATTAACCAACAAGTGCGTTATCGCTAGCGATATGTAAGAGTATTTTGGGGAAAAAACCCTATATATAAAAAAAAAGATTTTACTGATCATTACGGTGAGGAGCAGCTATAAAAGTCAGCTAGAAAGCATATTAAACTATATGGCATCCAGTGAAATCTGTAGCTTTCTCATGCTGAAATATTCTTCCAAGTACTTTTATGACCGCCATATGCTGACATAAAAAAAAAAATTTTAAAAAAAAGTTTCTAAACTAAAGCAAGGAGCAACACACTTAGGTGGCTAAAGAATTATAGACTTTAAACAACTGCCTTTTACGTGCACACTTTGGCAAAACCGCATCCAAAGATGTAAACAATAAGATACAGTAATATCTGCTGCGGATTTGGAGGATATAAGAGCAATGATTATAATACAAATGCTACATTAACAGTGCGAATCCTATCTAGTTGTGTTTCAAACCAATTAACAAATACTAACTGAATAATTCACCAATCATCTTGTAAGGTAAGTATATCATCTTCCATTTTATTACTGGAAAATGGAGGCATGCAGAGAAGGAAAGTGTTGTGCACAGGAATATAGCAAATCCATATGAGGACTGAGAGCGCATTCCTCAAGCCTCTGCTGGTATACCTTTCCCTAATCCGATTCTCGATATCATTTGCTTAATTACAGTAATTTCTTTAAGAAATTACAAATATCTATCAAAAATTGTATCTTTTTCCAACAACTTCAACTCCTAATATAAACTATCTTAAAAATGAACAGAATAAGAACAGGCAGTTAGCATGAGACTACTCTACTATTTCCCGTTCTTCCCTAAATTTATGTTAATATGCACGGAAATGAGAGAAGAATTCCTCAGGAGGCCGGAGTCAAAAAATAAGACACAGCTGTCCTTCCAGGATGTATGTATCATAGTTATTTTTATATTGACAAAGGTCCGAAGATGAGGGAAGTGGAAGAGTATTTTCACCCTCTGTTAAAATAAAATAAAAACTCAAACATCTGCCACCTCAAGTCAGTGCCCCAACTGTCACAGAATTGTTAAATGAGCCTGGAGTAATGCAAGAGCCTCACACAGCCAGAATGGTCACCTGAACTTTGTCAAGTGGCTTAAGATATTTCATGAACATAGTTCAGCAAACTTTTCCATCATTACAAAGCCAGCTGCACAGTATGTATGGCGGGGGGAGGAGGGGAAGGAGGTTTGTTTGTTTTGGGTTTTTGGGGGGTTCTTGGGTTTTTGTGGAGGTTTTTTGTTGGGTTTTTTTTTGTTTCTTTGTTTTGCTTTTGGGGTTTTTTTTTGTGTGGTGTTTTTGTGGGTTTTTGTTTTTCTGGTTTTTGTTTTTGTTTGTTTGTTTTTTTTAAGAATACCACCACCACACACACAAAAAAAAAGATTCGTACTTAATTTATCGCCAAATATCATCATTCCTCCCTGGTCCCCTACCCCTCAAGGAAGTTCATACTTGTTCAATGCACAAACCCCTACTTATCAGTTCTATGGTATTAGCTAAATTGTTCAGCCAATTTCATTTGCTAACAGCAATGGCATTCTTGACAACGTGAAACTCTGAACAAGGAAACTCTGAAATACCAACAAAAAAAAAAAAACAAAAATCAGGAGAGAGAAAGAGAGAGAAAAAAAGAAAACTAATTTCCAGTGACAGTCTAGTCTTTCATCTTAAGCCCTGCCTTGAACTCTACCTTGTTTAATTATTAAATCAGAAGCTGCTCAGCAAGATCTGTCTAGTTTTGATGGTTCTTAAATTCAATCTTGCTGACAGACTGTGTCCATTTTTCTCTGTATTTACTGTTACCTATGACATGATCTGAATGCTAATTTTTAAATTCAACATTCATTAATAAAGGAGTAAATTTTGTTTGACATTGTCTTTTCAGTCATTCAATTTTCTTCATACTTCATCCTGATAAAAAGTACAGGATGCTTTCTTGAGGATACTTGTTAATTTTTTGCTTTTTACATCATTTATATAGCAGGCACAAAATCCAGATTACACCTGCTTACGTGTTTCTAATTATTCTAGGAAAGAAATGCATTAAATTAGAATAATACAATAATTATTTTTAAAATCCTTTTTATTTGATCTTTAATCTAACAGAAGCATTTGATCATTCGAAGAGGAGGTGGGTAAGTAAGAGATCACATGTATCTATGAAAATAGATGTACTATATAAATCCTTTTTTATAGTCTACAAACCTACAGAGACAAAAGTTCTGCTAACTTGAATCAAAAAACAGTGAGAAATGCTAGAAACAGTCCTTCAATACAAATATATATCGAATAATATTCATTTAAGGGCTGTACTTCGATTAATTTTATCCGGGGGAAAAATCCTTGGTTGGACTGACTGCCAGGACACTGCTCTCTCCCAAGGTAGAACAACTGCATTGCACTATCAAAAAATATTTCTCAGCCCAACAATATTCATGTACACTTTTGTACAAATGCATGAAATTTGAATACTGCAAGAGACACTTGCTGTCGTGACATATTTACAAAAAACTTACAGTTGACTTTATCTGTTCCAAATAATCCTCCTCCATTTTGCTAAGACGAGCATTGGTATCCTCAAGCAGTTCCTGCATATCTTCTGTGTGCTTCTTCCGAATATTAAACTTCTCCTTCTCCATCTCAGCCACAGCATTGTGAAGCTGCATCACAAAAATATTGCCAAATAATAAATGGCATACAAAACTAGCACTTATAAGTATTATATTATTATAGCGTATAAATAGAATAACTGAGAAGCACAGGCCACATTTCTGTCCTCTATAACAAAACTAGATCATTGTCTCACTAAATAGGTCTGCTATGACTCTATAAAGCGGTAACTTAGAAGTCATTTTAAAATGTATAGAAGGTATAACTTATCCGTACAGAATACTAAAACACATACATATTTTTGCCATTCTCTGCTATTCTCTTTGTTTACATATTTAAACCGAACACCAATGACTTGCACAAAATTAATGAATTTCTATTACAGAAACACTAATACTCTCTCCAGATACTTAGACTGCCAGTTTATCTGCCTCTCAGTTTGTAAGAAGCTGGAGAGCCTTGACTATCTACTTGTCTAATAAAAGGATTATTGTGTCATTACTAACCCTTGATTTATATTCTAAAATCCAGTGGCCTCCCTTTCTAGTTAAGCAGCCTCAAATCTAAATTTTCTACCTATACTATAGTAAAGAATAATGTCATGTCAAATTAGCATACAAAACTTGTACGGTATATTGGTTGTATAACAGCTATTATGTACTTCTCACGTTTCTAACAAATCCATTTCACAGCTGAAGGAGAAAGCTGCAATATACAAAATAAAAGCATCATTCTAAACATGCTGCTAAAATCAGGTTAATTTGCACAAGTATGGATTTTTCTCTCCAACATACAGACTAGCAAAATCATGGAAGTGTCTGTGAACCTGGACCATTGTTTAACAGACTTCAACAGTGCGCAGTAACTTAACATAAAATTTTTCATTCAAAAGATAAGAATGCTAATAAATTATTATTATAAGTATCACGTATATACTGTGGTGTTCAGAAGATTTGCTGAATTTGAGATCCTTTTAAAATAATCTGGGAAAATAAATAAATAAATATTTAATCTCCAGGTGCATAAGATATAAATAAAACCAAAAATTCTCAGAATGTCTCTACCTCCTGTAGAACAGACTACAGTAATATTTGCATTATCGTCAGCAGCATCTATGCAAATAACCTGCATCTATTCAAAGGAAAAAATACACAGAAAGAATATAGTATATAAAGTTATAAAAATATTGTACTGTTAACTTTTACTATATTTCCATCATACTTCCCACTATCCATGTTTTTCCATAAGATACATGCTCCAATTTCACTTCTATAATTTCATTAAAATTAATATTAGTATTTTAATTTGCCTTCTTGTTTGCACACTGGCATCATTGATGACAGTTACAGCTGTAGAAACCGCACTTGCTAGGTAACTGCAAAAAGTGGGATGACCTCGGGAAAATAATGCTTCTCTAAAACAAAAAAAACAACCTAACACTGAAGCCTCAAGGTCTTAAGCACAAAGGACAAGATTTATGATTTATCTCTTACAAGACAAGAATTAAAACCAACATCACTTCCAGATGCAGGGCTGCAAAAAAATTAAATAAAACAGCATACTTCATCTACGAAGGGAGGTCGTTTTGCCCTTTTTGTGACCCTCCCTCTCCTGAGAGGGGTAAGCAAGACAAATACTGACAATAATCTGGGCAAAGGTGACGCTGTCTTGCAACAAACATGCTTTTCTCTCTGCTTTGCTGCTGTCTTGAGTCTAACAATAAATAAAAATACATTGAAGAATTCATGACCCGATGCAAAAATAATAGTTCAAAGGAATCACCGTGGCAGCAGGTAGCAGCAGGTTTACCGAGATTAAAATTCCACGTCAGGTCAACCAGAAATAAACACTTCCCTAATACACCCAGAGTCTTGCCAAGAGGGCCAGATGAACCCCAGGAACAGAGTGACCGGCTGGGTGGGGGTGCCTGGGGGTGGGTGTACGGGTGGATGTGGCTGTGCAAGCATCAGCAGAAAGAGTCTTGCAAGACTACTCCAGAAAAAAATAAAGTCAGCATAAGAAAATACCACTAAAAGTAACATACTCTTTTTTTTTTTTTTTTAAGTGACAAAATGTATTATCCCAGATACACACTGTAGGAGTCTTTCAAAGAAAGCAAGCATTATTCATTACCCTTTTCTCCCACTCATTGTTCAAAGAATCATTGCTTTGCTCACACATCTTCTTTAACTCCACAATCTGCTTCTCTTTTGCTTCTCTCACGACTTGTGACTCACGAACAAGGGTCTGAACTGTCAAAAATGAGAAAATAAACAACCATTCAAGAGATACCTTTGGAATTTTTCAGTGTTGGCAACAGATGCAATCAGATTACATCAGTTTTCCAATTGACCTGGCTTTCTGATGTTTTTTGGCTCTTAAAAACACTTAATGCATGTGCTTCTTTAAAATCTAGCACTTAAATTCTATGCCACTAAAATATTACAAGGTGTTCTCTCTTCTCTACATTATTTACAAAATATTTCATAGTGAGTTTTCCTTACTGAAGCAGTAAAGATACATCAACAAAATTCCGTAACCTAAAGAAAACAGGCATTTTTAACCTGATTTTATGTGCATCCTTAGGAGAAAAGGTTCTTGTGAGGGTTGAATGCCCAAGATATACAAGGAAGTTAAGTTCCCCAACTTAAATTGCAAGTGATTGCATCAAGAATTCAGTGTCTGATAAATTTTGTGGAAACCAAAGCAGGTACATATTCACTTTTCAAAAGTGACTGATGATTTTCACTATCTGGTAAGAGTGTAGGTGACTCAAACACAACCCATTACAGCTGAGCGCAACCACCAGCCCACCAACAGAAGCACCAGATCCTTTGCTGGACAGTTTTCTTTGCCAAGGAGCCGGAAACAATATACATGGAACTCTCTCCTTTTTTGTACGTAGGTTACCAAACGTGTGTATTATTTTACATTGTGGTTTAGTCCATAGTGTAAATGGACTCCAAGGAATTCTAAAAGAAACTAACATTCAAAAACTGCTGACAAGCCACACTCAGGCCAAGTTTTGTACTTATGACATATTTAAAACTACTACTCACGTTTGAAGTCTCTTGCCGCAATAGTCCTAAATAAATAATACACTGTGGTTTGATTAAAATGTACTGAATGTAAAAATAAATTAACCTTGAGCCAGAGATTCCAAAAAGTTTTAAATAAGTGGTCAAAATACTTCGGTATCATCAAAGAAATTTTTTTGGTGACTCTCATAAAACTTGTAAATATTAAATACAACAAGATCGCGCTGCCTCTTGGAAAATTTGGTTTGGAAACTGGACAGCAAAGACAACCGGACAAGCCTCTCAAATCTAAAGGAAAAATTGGGTTAAGACCTGCAAATGAAGAGGAAAGGGACATCTGCACCTAGAAGGAATACGTAAGCCCATGGCCACAAGAAGGATGCAGTACAATACCGCCACACAGAAAACAACAACCGTGAATATAAAAATCACCTTTTTTCTCCAGTTTTCTAATCGTCTCCTCAGCTTCATTTTGTTTGTTTTTGTAGAGGGACTTCAATACCTCTATTTCATCATTCTTTCTATCCAAAATCTGTGAGGAAAATTCACAATACTTTAACAGAAGTCCAAAAAAACCAAAACTACAACCGGTGCACAAAATAATATACACCAATCTCTGTCAAAGCAGCTGCCTTCAAGAAGTGCTTAGGTCATGCAGGACCAAGTGATTAGATCTAATTATTTTTCACAGCTAAGACTGCCAAATCATAAACAAAGGATTGATTTAGATAAATGTCGGCAGTAGAGTACATTAAAAAGGAGCTTCATGTTTTGGGGGGGGAGGGGATGTCTTTTTGTTTTCCTTTAAACTCGGGCAAATCCAATGTTGCTTTTGTTCAGTTTGAAGTTTCATGGTGCTACTCCTGCAAATAGAAAGGATTTGTTTCCCTTTTCATGTTTATGTTGCCTCATACTACTTAAAAACACCTAAAATTCTCAACAGGTTTAAGAAATACTTACATCATTGGTGAACTTCATTACACACTTATACTTCACCAATTGCAATTCTTTGCACGTATTCCAAGAAACAACAGGTTGGAACCGAGCAAGTATCTGAGGTGTAACTACATTTACATTTCTGTACGTGCTGATTTTGGAAAAAAAAAATGCTCAAATATTTGCACATTTTGAGATAGTAGTTTAAGTTAAACTTCATGTTTAAGATAAACATTAAAGTCACAGAAATTTTATAACAGTGCCCCAAATCTCTCATCAAACAGAAGCTTTCATCTTAAAACAATATTACTCCATCTGCATTAAATGTTTTGTGTCTTTAAAGATTAATACGACACTATTTAACCTTTTCTAAAATATCCAACCTATTAAACAACTTCAAAAGTCGGAATTCTAACATCAGTTAGAAAAGGATGACAACTCAAGGGATGAGAAAGCATTTAAACTATTTCTTATTCTCACAAAGCTGTTTCCTTTAGACTCAGCTTTGGTAGCTAGTTATGCTTGCAGGCTTTGAGAACAGATGAGCCAAATATGCACCTGACCAAATATTAACATCCTTTCAGGAGGCTTTTATGTGTCATAGTGTTGTGTCAACTAACTTCCTCCAAGCCTGTGACTCAGTCTTAAGAAACAAAAACAGAGGTACTCAGTAACACAAAGCTTACAGTAGGATAAGTCATCACAATCCTGACGCCGAGCATTTAACTCCCATTACGTTCCTGGGATCAGAGTGCTTCAGAAGGCACTTAGAACCTCGCAGAATTTGATCCCACATGTTTAAAACATGGTGTTAAAAGTAACAGTATGGTCTTTTATAGGCTTTTTGTAATCTTCCCAGAAGTGGTGTTATGCAACACAATAAAGACAAATCCAACCTAACCCAAAGGAAGTATATCTGGTGTCATTTTATTGCTGTGAAGAATTAAAAGCCACATATAGCTTTAACAGTGCAATAACATAAATAACGAACTGTTTATTGACCAGCCTATGCTTTAAGATACAGTGTCAAAACAGAGACATGAGAACAAGCACTATTGCTGTATTAGTAGGAACATATGTGATATACTTGCAGATTTTCCTACTATTATTCTTTGCATTTTGTCCATAAAAATTTACTTAAGTATTTTTGTTCACATTTTCCTATAATACGAGTGCTTTCTCTCCAGAAGAAAAATCATGAGTTTATGATTTCATCAGCATGTGAATCCATAGAAGCTGTTAGGCTGGTAAAATAGGTTGTCTTGTTCAAACAAACAAACAAATCACCTTCTATTTTGATCTGCTTTCTGCAAGCATTTCTCCCTTCCTAAGTTTATGTTATCATAGAATATTCTGCATTCCTATCAGCTTATGCAAACTGTTACCTACAATCTTACTTTAAAGGAACATTAATTGCAATTGTGAAGAAGTTAAAGTACAACTGAAAATTATTATAAACAGATTCTCTATTATTTTGTTTTATATATGGTCTTTGGAAAAAAAATACAAACACTTTTTACCTTTTGAACGTCAGTATCATGCTTCTGCTGTAATTTAAGTTTTTCTTCATGAAATTTACCTTCCGCTATTTTCATTTTCATGTCCAGCTTTAAAAGCAAAATAGAACAGATATAGAAGTTAATTAAAATAAAGAATAAATTACACTAATGACCTTTGCATAAGTTTTAAATTATTCATTTATATCTTTGAGAAGGCAATGGGAAGCCACTAACAAATAATTGCTATGAAAAATCTATATTCAGTTTCTCAGTATTTTCATATTTATTTGATAAAACTGTGACAAAAGATCTCAACCTAAAATATTTATTTAGAAAATGAATTTGTAAGATGTTTTAGTTGGCAATAAAACCAACTGCTACTGCCCAGAAAAAGCTATCGTCCTTTATTTAAATAAACACCTAAGAACGAAACTTTTAATATTTCTGTTAATATACCAAGTATGGTAAACTTGCTTTTATTCTTTAGGCAGGTGTTACATTTATACAAAGAATGTCCTTTAGCCCAGATGCATGTTTATTTTTGTTTGTTTTCTATTATTCATAGGTTTCACATTATAAACACATTTCCTTTCAAAGGTTACTTAGAATGGGATTAAGGATACTGCTGCTGAATTGGATTGCTAAAATACATTTCCTGCTTCTGCTTGTGTTTGTTCAAAGTAGTGTACTTGAACCCCTCCGACACAATAACACATTGCCACTTACTTTTTCTTTGAATAATTAAAAAAAAAATTTAAAAAAAAAAACTCTCTTACTTGAAAAAAATCCCAAAAACCAACTTCTCATTCGTTGAGGGCTGAAAAAGTGATACCTTCAAAAGCATTCAAGGTCCTCAACTTCTATAAGCTTAATGAAATTCCGAAGTTTCAGCACTCCAGACATTTTCCTGGCCTGTCTGCTTCGTCCACAACTTACATAATTTTGTCCTTTCAGGACCTACTATATAAATAAATGTGAGGAGTCCCATATTAAAGTGTTTGAAATTCAAGAGTTGATGTGCACATGGAGTTTTCGGCTAGTCTTAAGAGGAAAGCTGTATTTGTAATCAGTAACTGGTAAAAAAATAAAATAAAAAATCTCCAAAGATATTTAAATTTTATAATAGTCCATACTTCCAAGACACACATGTATCTTCATCACAACTTCTGGAAGTGTTAATCTGAACATCTGCCGTAAAAATAAAGATATATTGGTTTAAAAATCCTACACTTACAATTTCTTCTGTGGAAAACTGCTGGAACAGCCAGAAAGCACAAGGACAACAAAACAGTGTCCTATAGCAAAGCCTGGAGTACTGGTTTCATTTATAAATCTGCTTTTTGACCCACCCTTTGTGTAAGGCAGACTTCCAATCTCACTGCATATGTAGATAAAAAAAATGGAGTCATGTAAACACATTTTAAAAAGTGATCTCATTAAGGCTGGGGTTGAAGCAAACAGGCTCATCACTTCACAACCAGGAGTGAAACTTCTCCCCTTCCATTTCAAAGTTTAAACACGTTATTAAATACTAATTTCAATAAAGGAGTATCTTTCAAATTAAAACCATACCAAACTGAGTCAACCACATAACTGTAGCTACCAAATGTCAAACCTCATTTGCTAAGTTAGTCTCAATTTCCTGTGGAATAGCGCTTTGTAACTTTATGTGCTACTCTTCTATAAAGTGCCCTTCGCACTTCAGCTTTACTTTATTTATTAAAAACATATTGAGAAACAAAATAACCTTCAACAGTATCAAAGACCTTCATAAGTTTTAGAGAAAATAGATAAAAACAACTTAGAAAAGTCATTCACCTTGTTGGAAGCAATTAATTGTGCTCATGCTCATCAGTTTTAGTATCTTTTATTACCAGTTAAGAGGCAGCAGAGAACATGAAATTTGTGGCATGTTACGATTCAGACAAAAAAAAAAAAAAGTGGAGATATTTAGCTATAGCTGAGAAGTTTGCAACTATGTATGAAATGCATCCATTGCTGTTGCCTGAACATCATTCCTTTGGATTTCTGTCATTGTTTATTCTCCTTACAAAGAGTATGAGGCAATTAAACCCTAAGGCCATGTAAACATTACTGATGTCAAACATCTGTGCTGTCCCTGTTATTTAAAGCCATGGAGGGTGGTATTAACAGAACTGCTTTTATGTGCCTAGTCACACTTTCTTCCTAATTTAAAAAAAACAAAACACCACCAAAACCAGCAAATAGTTACCTGAAAATGGGGTTTCATCATATCACTGTCCTCTATTTTCATAGCACAGGTTAGGTGCTATGAAAATTTAAATAACAACTGTCAAACTTAAACCGATAGACTCTAATCTGCAACTGGCATTAAAAAAAAAAATCTTTGGCAAAAAAAAAAAAGGTTGTATCTCAGTTTTTCATGACAGAAGACAAACATGCATCTTGTCACCATTTACAAAAATTTGTAGAAATAGTTAAATACCTGATTTAAAAGTAAATCAATAAGCAGACTAACAATATTAATCAGAGATAGCTTTGAACTACTGATCACTGTTCACTTGTCTTCATTACAGTGATCACCCTTAGGCCAGAGGTGGCATCTCGAAGGTTTAACATCCATCAGAGATTTTTTTTTTTTTATATTTGACAAAACAGTACTTGTTGCTTGCCAGATTTTTTTCCAAGTCTATGAATATATGGGGGAGGGAGGGAGGAAGCGAGGAAGGGGGAGAAGGATGTAAACAACAAATGAGAACTTCAAAGTAAGAACTAACAACATAGAACAATGACTTGTATATCTTACAACATATGACAAAACTTATTTGTCTTGGTGTTATTCAGCTGCTAAAAGAAATCAGTGCACAATGCAACGCTTTGGTACTTTCATAGAAGAAAAATGTTTCTTTAAAAAACCCAACAAAAACAACAAACAACTAGAACTTTCTACCAAATCGTGTTTACTCAATTTTCGCCTCCAGGGTTAAAAAAATAAATATTGATAATTTATACAGTGTTTTAAACTACATAGGCAGGCCAAGGCAGGAGATACTGTACTTGCAAAACATTCAAGATTTATTATACATAAAGACATGCTAACTTCAGACAAATTTGGAATAATGTGTCTCTTATCATAATTAACAAGCTATCTTTTCTGATTGTGTTATTTCTGTATCTTATATTGCACTCTCAAAAATTTTTAAGATTAGCTTTGAGGTATATTAATACTTTTAACATTTAGAGCAATTTAAGAGTCAGAATAACCACCTAAATATCTAAAAGAAAATCACTGACATGAAAAAAAGGAAACAAATTCATACTTTATAACAATTTATTTGAACAGAAATTTCTACAGTAAATATAAAATTTAATCATATTGGAACTAATCTTCCATTTTCAAAACTGAACTGCTGAAAAACTTGCACTGAATTTGCAGTATGTGGAAAAAAATACTGTTCATTTCCAACTTTATTGCATTCAGATGTCTGTAACCAGCACACTTGTCACATGATATATAACTTAATATTGCATTTTATATTTAATGAGCAGCTTCTACCCACTTGCTCAAACAATTTTGAAGATCAAGATCTACTCCTGAAATGTTTTTAACTGCAGAGAGAAATGCATTATAGCATGAAAAGAAAGCAGGAAGGGCAAAATGCGTAAGATGCATACAGAAATACACCTCATCTTTCACATGTTGATGAATGTGGTGATCATATTCCCTTCTCATGACAACCAGGAGCTGGAAAATCTTCACAATTAAAACAGGCAAAGTATATTAGGAGAGAAGACTCACTGATATTCTGGGTCTATAGCAAAGTGAAATGTGCATATCATGACCAAAGTATCAAATACGACCACAGGTCTTAAAAGCGCAAACAGATTTGATTTCCTTGCAAGTGCAGATAGTATTCTAGGAGCACATTGTACAGGAGAGTTTAGTGATCTTTACTCAAAGTCTAAAAGACAGGCAAGAGGAAAACTTATTTTCTGGAAGAGTTAAGACCCTCAAGCCTCTGTGGTTGGCTTAAACTACTTAGAATAAATCTCTCTGAGGTGTAACAGGTGAAAAAGTCTCAAGACTTGAACAAAACACAAGACAGACCTGATGTGGATGACCTTGTGTGTAACAGTTCACCATAAAATTCCAGGAAGGCTAAAACCAGGAGAACGTTTAAGCTGTGCCAAGGTAAAGCAATATAGGTCTACAGACAAGCTTGCAGCCCTACTAAAACTCCTTACAAACAAATAAGCAAAGTATAAGGATGAACGTTTTGTTGAGAAAAAAATAAAATACATTGTTGAGAAGTTTGCTTTTCTTCACAAGTTAAGATTTCAAGAGGCGTTCCAGGTACAGAAGCAGTACCTGTTGCACCTCCCTGAGGCTCAGCTTGGTTCCCTTGATAAATGGGATAAATGGGATTCTATGCAATAAAGGAGGACTATTTTGAGTCTTTGACATAAATAATTTTTATGATATGCAAAGGAGATTCTTTCAAGTATCAAGGGTCATTGTTTCTCACTGTTTCAGATGCAGACAGTTCCCAAAAATGTCCTGGGAGGGGGATGGTGGTGTGTAGTTTTGCCACATAGCTAGTTTTACTTGATTGAAATTTCCAAGGCTCTATCAGACTTCAAGAACAAATCTTATAAATTAAAGGAAGTCATAAATAATATTTTTCCTAGTGGAACATTATACACAATAAAAGCAGGTTTTCCATCTGGGATTCACATTAACATTGGGATTTTTTCCTGCTGTTTGTGCTCATCCTCTGAGTGTAACACAGAAATACAAAAAAAAAAATTATAACTACATTTTGAAACAGTAGATCATTAACCACTCCAAATTCTGCATTGAATATCATCAATATTTTTACCTGATGCAATGCCTAAGGTGAAATAAATGTCTTGTAAAGTCTCTGTTGCAAAGAGCTTACAGTCTGGACAAACCAGAGACAGACTGAAAGAAAAGCAGTATCAAACAAGTGAAACATGCAAGCCAGAAATTACAATGTAAAAAGACCCTTTATAAACATGGCATTTTGCCCAGATTCAAAGGTCCTTCCACAAAAGTCTATGTTTATGATCTGGACTATATTATTTGACCTAACAAACATTT